TTTTTAAGGGGAAAAAAAAGAGAATGTGTTAATGGAATTACAGCCTATCAATTCAAATATGGAGGTGTGGGTGACATTAAAAAATTTAGCCCATATATCATTTGGTACTTATGCTTCTGTTGGTATTTTAACAAAGGCTAAGATCACAAGCCTACTGTGAAGAGAATCTGGGGGAATAACAGCTGCTCATCTCTAATAGCAATCATGTAACTTGAGAAATGTCATTTTAATATTTTCAAGGAACAAAGGAAAACACTCTGATGATAAGGTAGGATATCTTAAACTGAGGAAGACCTAACACTCCCATGTATGATATGTATCCTTTTCAAAAATCAAAACCTCGACATTTAAATCGGTCACATAACCATAACATCCTAAGCCTTCCCTTCAAACTCTTCAGCTACCTTTAAGAAAAAAAAAAAAAAAAGTCAATTGGAACATCACCTAGAAAGGTAACAAGCATAACTGTTTCTGCATTTGCATCAACAGGTTAACGGACAAAAGAGCAAAGTGCTTATTAAACCAAAACCTTGTATTTCAAACCATTACAGTAAATCTATATAATCAGTGTATAACTCCTTAAAGCCAGAAGGCTAGACTGGGTTAAAGAAAGACCAAATCCTATCATATTTAATGTTTCACATGCCTGATCAAGGTACGTTTTTGAGTACTTCACTATTTTCCTCCACAGAAGCAAAATAATCTCTTCTACTGCTATTAAACACTCATAAAAGAACTGATTTTCAAATAAAAACATTCCAAAGGAAAACAAGTTACATTTTAGGGTTTTCATATTAAATAAATTCTGTCCACCAAGAAGAATCAATGAAAGCAAGCTTACAGAATTTGAAGGTAATAAACTATAATGACTGCAAGTCTTCTTTTTTTAATTTTATTTTTCCTTCTAGTTACATGGGAGTCAGAAAATTTCTTTATTCTACATTAAGGAGCAACTTATCCAAGGTAACTTCCTTCTGAAAAAATAAATTGAGCTTTTAATTATGATTGCATTTAGAATACTTACATAGAACTTTCCTAACCTTCTTCCAGAGTAAAAATAGTGAAAATGTTTTAATTAATCCACTTTTCCTTGAGAAATATTTCCTTTAAAATGTTTTTAATATAACTCAACATTGGCTGCATCTTTCTTGACAGATGGTATTTCCTTAACAGAGAATGTCTCAAATGGTTTATGTATAACATTCTTTCTAAAATTCATTTCCTTTCTGTGTAAGAAGTTAATACACCAAGAAAAAAAAAACAACAGGAATGTTTCATGCCATGTGGGATATAACAGTTCTAGAGTTTTGCTTTAAATTAGTCGACTAATGTTTTTGGAGAAATATTATTAACTTGGTTGAAGCTTAACATTTGGAAAACGGAAAAATACTTGCTCACAACTTTGCTTCTCTCCAGATCCCATTCCAACACGAACTTCACTTTTATGTTCTACTCTTCAGTACATGTCTGGTGGAAATCTGACAGACCTTAGTAAGGTTCAGCTTAGGGGAGAGATGTTAACTAGATGGTTGGTTTCTTCTTAAGAACAAGTGACTGACAGTTCTATAACAAGTATCTCCCAAACCAGAAATGAAAGCTCTTGATAACTTCACTCTAAATATTAAAATCACTCAAGAAATTGAAATCAGCACAAAAGCACAACATAACCTTTCTCAAAAGAAGGACAGACATTGAGGTCTCACAGAAGATACAACTCCAAAGGCCAGGCCACTCCTCCACACTAACACCAAAACACAAGTTTTGAAGAGTTGGGAGACTTGTACCAGCTGAATGCAGAACTAAGGTTCCACATGAAAAAAAACCCTGGGAAATAGAATCTTTACAGGATATTGAGACCAAAGGCATTTGCTCTGCAGTTTGTAATACTTACTCCCTGTAAATAAAAATACTTACTCCCTTGGCTAAATTGCTGGAAAGCTACAGCAGTAACAGTAGTCTTCGAGTGATGAAGAAATACCTTCAGACAATTTCCCTTTCCTCTTGTTATGCTATAAGCATTAATTAAAATATTGCTCTATATAATTAATAACTAAGTACTTAAAAACTTAAGTACGCAAGTAAGTACTTACTAAGTCAATTAGCACTTACTAAGTACTTACTAACTGTAAGCAACTAATTACTCTAATATATTAGTCTGCCAGATCAGATAAATTTCAGTACTGCTGAAAATTTTCATTCTAAAATATTCTGCAGCCTATGCAACTCTATGTACAACAAAATTTTGCAATTACTATTTTCCATTTCATCACCTAGCCAGTATGTCAATTTGTGATACTTCTAGTAAACATTATCATCCGTGTTAAAACTGTACATAGAGAATCCCGTGCAGTGAAATCCAAAGCTATGATCAGAAAATCTTGCTCACACGTGACTGAAAGGACCAAACTTTACTAAATCCTCTAAACTCTTCATAAGGTTCTTTCTTCAATTAAAAATAACTGCAATTAGTACGTTTTCAAAGATATCTACTGCACAAGGGTGCTGTGTATCATGTCATATTGTTCTTCAGTAGACTAGCATATTGCAATTACTTTAACAAAAATCACATCATTTCAGCTATTTTTCCCTTTAGACAGAAGACAATATGTATTCCTATGTTATCAACAACCATTTTAGCAATATGCCTATTGTGACCACTCAAGCCACATTTGCTTCTGCCTATACCTAATTTCCATACTTCCATAACTACAGAGTCATTGTCTCAATTTTACAGATCAGTCATCTCTCAAGGTCCCTCGATGACCTGCTGTAATAAGAACACACACAAAGAAATAGCTCTTTGACCTCTGACATCTTTGCAGGCATTTGTCACTCAAAAACTATTAAGGTGGTAGATAGGATAAACATGTTGCTTTTTTACTCACTGTCAAAATCTAAATAAGATGTGCCATTCAGTTCAAGTATTGTCTTAGAGTGTGATTCTTTTTATTGCTTAGTGGAGCTGACGCTGTCCAACATCTAACCCTGTATCCAACAGAGGTGCAAAACTAAATGCTTCTCAATATCTATGAAAAAAATCAAGACTCTTTCTTCAGAGTACGACTGAGACACAAAAAGTGCAATGCCTACCTTTAGTATAACGCAAGTAAAAATATTCTTTGAGATATGTTTTTTACAGAAATTATCATTCCAAGTAAATTTGAGAAATTGGCATCTAAAGATAGAACCATTCATCACAAAATAATGAAATATCAATTTTGTAATGAATAGTAGACCCATGGAAATGGTGGATAGTGTAAGGATTTCATTTAAAACTTGGTATTCAAGTGAAAATTCAAACCCAATGTTCCTAATAAAAGAACACACTTCTCTGAGCAAAGCCATAATTTTGGGAGAGACACACCCTTTGTCACTTCCAACGGTTAGAAACAGACGAGTCTGCAAAAGATTTACTGTAAATCACATTGACACACAAGTATTTTTCTAAGGAAACTCTAGTGCAAAATCTATCCATCTGATGGAGAAAGCAAAAAATGCAGCAAGACCAATCCTTTTCCGAAACAGTCTATTTCCAAAGGTTAGAAAGATCAAACAAAACCAGAACATTACATTCCATCTTCCTAGACAGTCTGCGATTATTTAAGAGAGATTAAAACAAACCAACACCCCCTTCCCAAATGTGAAAGGCATGCCAATTCCCAGAACATTAACTGTTTCCACTATCTGATGATGAATTACACATAAATAGTTCACCGGCAGTGCATCATTTTTACTTGTCCCAAGGACAAATGCACTGACCTGGGCAAGAGACCTTAAAAGAAATTGCTAAAACTGTTTTATTTTTAAGGGAACTCACTAGTTAAGTTGACAGATTAAGCATTGTTTTCACACGGAAGAGGGAAGACCAGAAGACAGCTACCGTCTATGCAGGAGGCTGATAGGAAATTATTAGCCTTACCTTACCAGAATCTATGAGTTGGCTCAATAACCTTGAGTGGTATTACCTCATACTTTCTAAAATATTGTACTCAAGAAAAAGAGGTTTTCCGTGAGTGGAGAGTTAAAAATAAATAAATAAATAAATAAATAAATTTGAAAAATAAACTGGCTCCCAACAGACTTAACAGGTAAGTATTTCTTCTACTTGTTTTGCTCTTTGAGAAACTTTTTGTAGTTTTCCTTGGCTTTGTTAAAGAACCTAGCAATGACTTCCCTGGTGCACATGGCCTCCAACTCCAGCCTATACGCAATCTCAAAAATTTACACAGCAGAACCAGAAACAAGCTCCAGGTTCTGACCATAGCTTGAAAGCCCATTTGCAGCTTGGCTCACTTTCAAAAGTTATCTTCCATGGATAAGCATGTAGTCACCACTGTCTCCTGGCTTACCACACCAGAAGAGTTAAAAGCTGTTTTTCAATGAGCACAAAGCATGTAACTGCTATTCAGTGAGTAGAATGATTGAGAAATTTCCACTGTATCACACAAATTCTGGGGAAGAGTTAGTCCTGTTCATGAGAAAAAAAAGTTGAGTGAAATTAAAAAGTGTTTGTTTCACTTAAGTTTCTCAAAAGCAATAGCATAAGCTGCAGCAATTAGAAAAAAAAGGTACACTTTACCAGTCATTAATAAATTTGTTATTGCTTATTCTTCCTATAGTACTAACAGCTTTTTCAAAACCATTGTTCTTGGCATTTTAGCAGATCACTAAAGTCACAGTAACAAATGTGATCTTGACAGCAAATCAGCTGAATAGATGCATGATTACTGTAAGTATTAAAAAATAGAAGGATCTAGTCCTTCTAGTGTCTGAATAATAAAATAAAGCATCTGAAAAACTAAGTAAGCTTTCTCACAGTTCCATGTCCAAACTAGGACAGAATTTTTTTCGACATTATTTTCATTTGAGAAACAGTGTATCAAAGGTAACCAGCACATCTCCTGTAAAAAGATCCTGCATTCCATTTAATGGAAATCCACAGAACTCATCATTCTCTTACATTTGTCTTCACATTTCTCTGTGAAAGGAATTCACTCTACCTGTGATCAGAAGAAATGGTCTATCTGAAGAGAAGCCTGCTGACAGATTGACTCCCTTGATCTCTGAACACTCTGCCAACAGGAAAACTTTCTGGGTACAGCAAAGACCTTTTCTCCTGCATTTGGGTAAAAAACAGTGATATAAGATTGGTAACAATTTTGGGGGTCTTTTTGCTTGTGGGTTTTCTTAATATTTTTCTAGAAACTGAAACTACCAAATGTTTAGCAGTAACTCAGAGAGCTGTAATAGCCACCTGACAGATACAATTCAGACTCCTTCCCACTTCTGTGTGGGAATATATACAATGTTGCCTATCCTCTACACAAAGCTTTACACTTGCTATACATCTATTTACAACTTTAACTCACCATGGTAACTATACCCTGCCTGAAGATGTACAAGATGACCAACGGAAACTTCAGTAATCTCCACAACAATGCTTGCAGGGAAGTCTGGAAAAACAGCGGCATTTTACTTTGTTTTGATGTTGTAATTTAGCTCTTGATGAGTGGAATTTACAGTTTCTTTCTGAACAGCTACCTTTCAAATTTCAGAAGCACAGCATGAAGTGCTTTCAGTGGTATTTCTTACAAAGAGACTACTAGTATCATCATATTTGAGCCTGTCTATAAACATTTTTTTCAAACAAATTGCAAAAACACTTCAAAAGCATTAATCAGCTAAAAACCCATTAATTTCTGCATACATTTTTCTACATAAGTTAAATCACATTAGGAGAACATACTTTTTAAAAGATGGCTTGAGCTAATTTTAAAGATGGTTGGAAAAGTTTGGCCTACGCTGATTAAAATCTATACTTAAATGAAAGGAAAATTTAACCACAGAAACTGTTCTCATTTTAGAAAAACAAGCATATCACTGCCAAAGTGCTGCCCTAAGTTTAGATTGCTGTCTGACTAAAACATTATAATTATGAGAAACTGAAATGGATTTCTAAATGTTTCAAGATGAAACAGCCATTGGGTAATTTGCAAGATATGCAATTATCTTCTGAATTCAAAACACATAATGCTTATACTTGCTCCAAACAAATAAAGGCTGCAGAGCACTGTTTGTGTGAAGACTGGGGAAATCAATGTTAAACATCAATACCAACACTAGATAAGAGTAACCATAATGAAATCTAAGAGCAAAATTACCAAGTGATGTGGAATTAATTACTTAAAGAATTTTCTTTGAGGGGAAAAAAAAAAAAAAGTCATGGAATCTTTTATCTGTTGCTTCTCTCTCTCCAAGAGCTGATCAAGCTGAACAGATGATTTTCAGCACTTTTATCACTGTTAAAACTGCACCAGTGGTCACACAAGGCATTTCACCCAAGTTCCCACGTGTAGCAAGACAGTGACATTTTTACCTTCAAACACAAGAGAGGGTCTTCCAAATAGATTTGAAGAGTCATATAACGCATTTTCTGTTACTTCACAATTAACATTCATATTTGGGTGGAATCATTTTCATACTGACCACGCAAAAGTTAAAAGGAAACAAAAATTAAATAGAATCACACACTAACCCCAGATCCATTTGTTAATGTCATGTATAACCATTGTGAATTCCAGTTATTTTGAACAGTAAGTTAAATCTTGACCTGCAACAATCATAAGCAGTTTGATGCAACTAACAAGTTTCCAGGAAATCAAAGTAACTCCATTACTGTTCAAAAACTATGATTGCAAGTACTTGTCAGTACCTGCACTGCCTTTCATTGTTTGTCTTTAATTTAGAAAGAAAAACTAATGGCTTGGTGGTGTTTTATTTCTTGGTCTCCTTTAAAAGCCTGAGTGTTTGGTTATCTTTTGACTCTTCTGACTGCAATCCAGTCTCTTGTTTCACTGATTTGGTGAAAGGAGTACAAAACAATCTGTCATTCATATATGAAAGCACCAAGGAACCGTGAGCATGTCTAGGGACACAGCAGTTCATAGGAACACCATAAATCAAACAGTAATTTTATAAAGGACTAGAGAAATTTTTCAAAAAGAATTAATTCTCTTTCTACAAGCAACGTGTGGTGATCCACATAACTGCTTCATATAGACTCTTAAGGTAGTCTCTTCGTTTAGCCTTCATGGCACCTCTGAAGCTGCCATCAAAAGAGAAGAGCAAATAGATTTCTCTCAACCATAAGAGATGCTGGATACCTTAAAAACAACAAGATCATTGTAAGCTTAATGAGAAAGCACCTGAGATTAAGCAATACTTTCAGAACCACTGCAATGAAAGCAATACCTGCTCTCTTGATACCTAAGATAACATCAATAGCAGGTTTTATATCAAAGGATGCCCAAAACAAGCTCCTCAAGAGTCATAGCAGTTTAAGTATCACAGATGCAAAATCTTGGAAGAGCATGCTTAAAAGCAAGAAGGTGAAAAAAAGCAGGGGAGAATCACCTAAGCCTATTGTCAGATTAAAGGCAAACTAATTTTCTCAAACTCAAGAAAGGATAGTGTGTGAACACAGAGAAGCAATTAATTTTGTACTGACAAGTAAAGACTCTCCCAGTTTTTAACGCCTAAGCATACAAGAAACCCTAATACAAACAAATCAAATTAAGTAAATTAAATTCACCTTATTCAAGCTCAGAAGTAAACTAGCTCAAGAGAAAAAGATGTAGAAAAAGGAGAGACATCTTGTCTGTGTTTCAAGATTTCTGCTAACACAGTTCTCTTGCATCTCGCTGTGCCCTGCAGCAGCAGCAATGGACTTCACAGTGCAGAATTGCCTTTCAGGAGCAATTTATTTTTTTGGCCAAGTCGACAAATAGTAAATTCAAACTGCAAGCCTTTGCCCACGCTCAGCTGGGACCTGCTTCAAAAAGGCAACTCTCTAAAGGTTCTATCTCCCCCCCTCTTAGCTCTGAGTGCTGACCTAACACCACACACAGAACACAAACAAGCCAGCTCTCCTCAGACCATTTCTAATAAAACATTAAACCAGACTATGGAACTCAACACCTCATACAGAACATGAGGAATCTTGTTTGTGCATTCTCAGCATCACGACCTGAAGAAATAAGGGAACACGGAAGAGGCAGCCCTGAACAAGACTAAGTGGAGAACAGGAGAATGAAATAAGGAAAGAAGGACAGATCATTTGCAAATGATGACTATATAGGAGGAAAGCATAAATTGACAGAAAAACTCTGCATGTCCCAAGAAGCTGGAAGCCAACAAAAGCAAAAAATGTGTTTTGGCAAAGCAGAGTTGGGAGGAGTAAGGAGTAGTAGCACATTGAAGGACGGGACAAGTGGCAGGGAAGAAAAGATGCATATGAGACTGTTTAGACACAAATTAAGAGAAGGAAACTCCATAGGGAAAAGTCTTGGACAGAATCAGATAGAAAGCCAGCAGAAGGACAAGAGGATTTACACCTGAGACAGTTCAGATGACTAAGAATTTAAGAATTAAGAATCTGGATTTACTAAAAATAGCTGATGAAGAAGTAGAGACGCTGTAGGAACAGATGAAACATATGCCACCTGAGCGTCTCAGAAAGGGTTCCTTGATCCAGCAAATCCTAACACCACTAAAATCTTAAATCCAGCAAAATCCTAAATCCAGCAAATCCTAACCCCAAGTGGATGTGAAGAAGACACCTTATTACACTTCCAATTTTCTTTTCAGATTGCTTTTGTGAAGAGGGCAGGCAACTCCATGAAAGCAGAACTCATCAAGGCTGAGGAGTTGGACCATATCAGAATCAAGGTTTCCCTGCACAGCTTCAGTGTGGCTTTTACAGCAGGATACAATATTATCTTTCCTTCAAAATTCTGCCCCACTGAGTGCACATAGTGGACCAGCCCCTGAGATTGAAAGAAGGCTTTGTAGGTGACTTCCCTCTTTCAGCACAGAAACACTTTGGCAAGCAGTGAACAGAGAAAATACTCTGAAAAGAGCCCTTCACAGGCTTATACTACTCCCTTCACTCTTACCCCATATTCCCTACACATGGCTGACTTTTTTTTTAATTGAAGCTTTTCAGAAGTTTTAAGTATAGTTCTGATTTTCTGAATGACCAACTTGAGATTTGGTTTCTCAAGGTACAGTTTCACATTGTACTTGACCCACAGCTGGTTTATATTAGGGCAGGAGAAGCAGCTTTCATTCATATCAGAGCAAACACTCCCTAGAATAGCTTCCATCTGACAGAAAGCCATCCCCATAAAACTGTTAGATCAACTGTCCCTGAAATCATCCAACCACTAAATTCACTACAAAGAGAGTAGCAATAACCCATGGCCAGTGATGGCAAAGGAGTGAGACCACACTCCTCAGCTGCAGCCCACACACTGACCAAACTATGTATTCACATGTTAAAGTGTACCTTGATTTGCTGAGGAGTCAGACAGTACAGCTGCCACTGCAGCTTTGCATTCAGAGTATTAGATAATACTATAAAACATTATTACAAACTCAACCAACCTATTTTAGATTTCTGTGTTCAATTTGAGACATACTTTGGCTTTCTGTTTTTTACCCTCGTTTCTCCATTTCATAAAGCAGGAAGGCGGGTGGGGAACCCATCTGTTAATCTCTGTGTTACAGTGGAATAAGTTTATGCTTGAGAAACATTAAAATATTGCTGTACCTATTACTGAAAAGTCCAATTTATAAAGCAAGATGAAGGATGGGGAGGGGGGGAACCCATCTGTTAGTCTCTTGCAGCAGAATAAGTTTATGCTTCACAAACATTAAAATATTGCTGTGGTATCTCCTACTGAAAAGTCCAATGGTGCAAAAGCAGAGGCTGGGTGGTGTCTTGAACAGAACAGCCAGCTGCTGTGAAGTAAGTGAGATACGGTGATACTTTCAACCAATAAGCTAAATACACTACCCATCAGTGTAGTCCACGCTGTGCACTGGCATAAGTAGAGACTAAAAAAGTCCAGTGACCACCAAGAACAGCGAATACATATAAGCGCCAACGTGAAGTTGCACACACAGTTTAACTCCAGTATTTATTTTTATTATGCAGCAACTTGCAGACGCAGTTATGTCCCGAACAACCCAGTTGTGCAAAGCTACAAGCCTTGTTCTGACACCCACCCTATACTTCTTACACAAGAGACCATTCAGGTCAAAGTTTAGCTTTGCCAGAGGGCACAGCGAGCCCAGACAGCAGCACACGCCAACACTAACGGGAAAAGTGACACAGTAACCAGGGAAAACCACCCAGCTACAGCTGGAAAAAACCTGACTGACTTCTGTGTACGTGCAGGTCTAAACAAGAGACTGCACTTTTCCCAATAGGAAAAATATTAAGGATGAGACTATAGCAACAGGCCTCCGTTTATTCCTTCAAGTGCAACAAAAACAGCAGCACTGAAACCGAGGTTTTGGGTACCGTACACGTCTCACACACGCGCAACGCCTCCGCAGACAGGCTCAGGGGCTCTCCTCCATCGCCGCGGCTCCCGCCCTCCTACAGCGCGGCGACCATGCCTGGGGAGAAACGGGAGGCGGGTGAGAGCCCGGCGGGCGAGAACGAACCGGTGAGGCCAGGGCAGCGGCGGAGCCCTGGAGCCGCTGCCACCGCCAGCACCGCGGCCCGGCCCCCCCCTCCATTCCTCACCTGGGACGGGGCAGCGCCGCGGCGGGGGGAGCTCAGGGAGCCGCCGCGCCGCCGCCATCGCCCATCGGCGCCAGGGCCGCCGCCATGTTCGCGCGGCCTCTGACCCGGACCACTTCCGGTCACGGCTGTCACGCCGTTGCCATGGCAACGCCCCTGGACCGGCCTCCCTTAAAGGGACCCCGCGGGGCTCCACCGGGAGTTGCGGCCCCGGCCTGTCTGGAGAGGGAGGCACGGAAGAGTCTTTTGGGGTACACGGAGCCGTGGTGCCGCTCCCCAGAGGCTTTGGCACTCGGGAAGGCAAAGCACTCGTCTCAATTTAGTTACCAGCTGAAAAGGGATAGTGATTCATCAGCCCCACGGCGCTGCACGAAGGGGAAAACCCTGCTACTGTTTAGCTGTGGAATTTGTCATAAAATAGCTTGTCGGGTGTGAGAGCAGTGGAAAACGACCATGGCATGATTTCCACTGCTGTGAGGAGATGGTTTCTCTTAACTTTCCCCTGAAACGGGGTGTATTTTCAGCTTTTATTGCACCGCCTTTACCGCCACTCACTGTTGATGCAATTAACCCCTTTATACTCTTTCCACATGCGTATTTTTATAAGTAAACAAATGTGGTGAAACCCCCAATCCAAGAAGGGAAACTCCAGGAGGTTTTAAGTAAAGTTTTATGTTTGTGTAAAGCCAAAGTGCGTCCATGCCTGGCTGACAAGAGCTGTTGGAATAGGACCAAAGCAACCAGACCTCTCTGACCCTACAACAATTTCACATGCACAGACAAACATGCCCCTCTGCAAAACTACTGTAAAGTGCAAATACCAAGGCAGAACCTGATCCCATACCCATTTAGGGATATATTGCCCTGCAGTCACTCCCCTGGGGGGATCCCTCTTTTCCACTGCAGTCAGTTTTGAGAACAACATTGTCTCTTCCGATGCGCCTACCATCATCCAGTGAGAATCCACTGCCTGAAAGAGTACCTTTGCAGAGCTGAGAACCAGTCATCAATTTGGTCAATACTAGAAATACCAAAAAAAAAAAAAGTAGGGAATGAACCTTTGGGTTAATTCGTCCTAAAAGTCATAAAGATGTTGGAAATTCCACTGTCATCTCTTTTCAAGGGATCTTATTTGTTCCTTCAGCCTGGAGGAGTAGGGGCTAAGGGGGGAACTTAGCTGTTGCCTTCCACTGGTGGAAGGCTGTTGAGAAAGTGGAGCTAGACTCTTCTCAGACGTGCACAGCAAAGAGATGAGAGGCATTGATCCCACATTCCAGCAAGAGAAATCCCAATTAGTTAGTAGGAAGGAATTCTTCAAAATAAGAGTGGTCAAGCACTGGAACAGGCTTCCCAAAGACCTTGTGCAATCTTAAAACCTCAAAAAAGTGAAAGTACCAATAGCATCCCAAATCCTTCAAAATGCCTTAGCTGAAGAGACAAATACAAGTCCCTGTTAGATCGCACTGCCTCTTGTGTCAGGAGGCTGTTTGTTGTGTGATTCACCTCAGCTGACTTCTGCTAACTAGGAAACAGGCATTTAGTCAGACTTAGTCACTAAGGTTCCCTCCTCTAGGCAGCTCCAAAAAGTGATTTGTTCCATCCCAAATTGGATGTCTAAAACAGCTCAGCACATGGTGAACTGAAATGGCTCACCTTGGGATCACTCTTGCTGATAACATAGTTAAAGCTTGGTGAAATGAATCCTCACTGGTGCCTCATGAAAATAAGGACAAAAGGAAGGCAAACTGCTGAATTTTAAATAGCTAAGCATAAGAACTTAGGATGAAAGACATAACATTGGAAGAATGTCTCCAGGGGTAACATGTATTGTGGGCTGTCAGCTATAGACTTGATGCCAGGCTCCTGGGCAGCCTCAAAAATTTGAATAGAAATAGAGCATCTGCAGTGATGGCATCCGATTTAGGCCTCCTGGCACAACCCTGCAATGCTAAATGGAAAGCTGTCCCCAGATTATTACTGCTGTTGTCTACGAAGGCGAGTGGGTGAAACTGCAGACATAGCTGTGTGTGGCTTTTGGTGTTCGTAATGTAGGGCAGTCACAGCTCTTTTCATTAGTTTGATAAACTGATAATAGGCAAAAGTGCATATGGCTAATTGTGTCTTGGGTTGAAGCTCTCTGTATGGTAGAAATCCATGCTAAAATGGGTTAATAAAATCTTGAAAAAGATTTTGTAATTAGAGAGCTAAGTAAGGAGCTTTAGCGCACTGTACACCAGAACACAGGCCAGAATCTTACTGCAGCCCATTCTCTGGCACTTTCAGATCTGGACAGATCACTTCACTCTCCTATCAGTGCAGTAGGAATAACAACACTTCCCTCTTGCTGAGAGTGCTGTCAGGAGACAGTAATCAAAGTTTGCAATTTTATTAGAAAATGTGAAAAACTGTACAGCTCTCCTTCTTACAATGCCAACACCCGGCTATACAAACTTCTAGTTAAGATATTTTACTTACAACTGCAGAGAAAACAATTTAGTAAGACAGACTATAATGAGTGTGTTCCCGTTTTCCTTAAGCACCCCAAAGCAATTTTGTACTGTTTGTGGATAAATCATTTGTCTATCACATCGACATGCAGCCAGCTGAAGAAGAACATGACATCTTTTCAAGCATTCATGATAGCACTCTATTAGAAAATACAAAGGCAAATTTAATTTTCAGTTGCAACTACACAGGCAAAGTAGATAAGCACCTTGTGCTTTACAGTCACACACTTAATGCTGAACTTGTGTGAGGTGAGTTAGTGTAACCGTTTTGTTAGAAAGCAAAAAGTCTGCTCAAGAAAAATACAGGCATTCATAATGCCCCTACAGTTTTTGTGAAAGTGGAAAGTACAATTTCTACAGCCAAAGACAACAGTGAGGGGAAGAAAAGAATGTTCAGTATTCAGCAAAAAGGAAGAATCCGGCTGACTGGAAATGTATGTGCATTTTAGAAGGTTTTGTTAAAATAATATTAAGGTAATGGCTTTACCTCCACAAAAATAATGCCATTTGACACTGAAGTCAAGCTTTCGACGTGTTTGAAATAAAACAATACAGATTTAATTTAGCCACGAAACAATTCCTGTGGGCAGAGCTGGAAGCAGTAAGGCCTGATTCCCAACAGACTTGCTCCCTATGTCCGTCAGCCCATCTCCATATCTGCTGCATTAATTTTGTCTCCTTCCTACACCATGCACAACATCTCCACAAAGCAAGAAGCAATAGATGCAGGTTGTCCAGCGAGTACCAGCTGCCAAGAGAAACAATAATGTTTGTTCAGTTGGGGCATGAATTTAGTTCTTGCTCCTCTGTTGAACTGTCTGTATTAACAGATCTTGTAGGAGCATGATTGTTTCTGAGACTTCTACCTTTCTGCCCTTCCACCAAATTTGAGTGAAGTTTGTCAAAAAGTTTCAAAAGATTTTGGAGGGGGAGACTTGAAGCCAGACTAAAAAGCAGCATGGCCTCATAGGTGATATTCATGTGAAAAAACAGACTGAAAAGCTCAAAAGTTGACTACAGTGGTGGAGGGGGGGGCAGAATAAATTAAAACCTTTTTGCAAGGGGGTGAAATTAAAAATTATTGAGATTTTTGAAGTTGTGCTGACACCTGAGAAATAGAAAATGAAAACAGAAAATTATGCAAGTCGATTATCCATCCACCAACAGGACTTGGAAACATATGGAATGAAGAATTTAACATGTTGATAGCAACACAGGAAAAAGAATTTTTTTACTATAGCTGGGGTAAGCTTTACAAAACATTTTTTGGTTGTATGATTTGTAATGGGACCTCTCCATTCATCTTGTGTTGGCATAGCTCAGCTGGATGACAAGAGGCATCATGGAGCTCATAACAAGCTGCTTAGAGGGGAGACAGAGGAGAGGGAAAGCATTTGAAACCAGTGTCACTAACAACAGCAGTATACCTAAGACATTTTGGTTTCTAATCGCTATTGCTTAGTTCTGTGTTTTACTTGTAGACTAAGTCCCCTTGGGGCCTATATCTGAGCTGAGGGAATGATAGACTATGTGGCACTCAAAGGAAAGAAAAGATAAGCAATATGGAAAATATCTTTAAGCTTCCAGTCACGCCTCCCTAGAACTGCCAAAACACAGCAGAAAGATAACTCATGTTCTCCTGTTCCTTGGAAAAGCCTCAATCACTTGAATAAAGAGACTTGCTGGGAGCTCTTGTCGCTAAGTGGCCTGGACTGTGCTTGCATCAAATGGTTTTCAAATTGTGACCCAAAAGCTACTTATGGATCTGCTGTTCACATGGCTATTTCCACCTCCTAAATCTCATCAGGATGTGTTAAATGCTTTCCTAATGGTCCTATGTCATGTAAACAATTGCAAAATTAGCCCCAGAGATGATGTTAAACGGTAAATTAGAGTGGAAGCAGAGGAAGAGGAAAGGATTGCATGACAGAAAGGGAAAAATGAGGAAGGATCATAAATGCAAGAGGTGAGAGGTCACGAGATGCATTCCCTAAAGACCTCCGCCCCAGAGAGCAGTGCAGATGTGATCATTAGGGCCTCTCCTGTGTTTACTCATAGAACACTTTAGGATGGTTCTGCCCTAACCCCTGCTCTCTCCTAAAAATCCTCATATAGCTCATTTGCTGATACTGCTGTACTCAACATCCATCTGGGTTTTTCCTCTCTCTTGGGTTTGCTAAGCAAATTTCACTGCCTGTGAGAAGAGCTAAGTTATTTGATGTCTGGATCACTCACCTTCTCGCCTCCATTTCGCTACTTCTCTGGAGGGTTCAAGATAAGGATACGGTAAGCCCACAAAAGGCTTTTCACCTCTCCATCTGGTTGCAAAGAAAATCAGATATCTGAGCCTACATACCCTCTTAGGTGTGGAAATTTTCTAACTGTTCATAACATGCCAAAGCTGCACTTGTTAATTTTTTTTCCAGAAACAGCAGAAGTAGAGAAGGGGCCTTGACTCAAGGGGTATCAGCACAGCAGTGAATAGAGATTACCGTCACCAAATCAAAACAGGGGAGGCAGTGACAGCATGGAAAGCTTGCGCTGCTTTAAGCTGGTATAATATTTCTTGTGCCTCTAAGGTAGGTGCATA